TGGTCAATCCATTTGAATTTTGCTGACTGTACTTTGAAATGAACTGGTTAAATCCAGTTGAGCTGATATAAACATGAAAAAATCAAGCTGTTAATGAACTCTGCAGAAACCTAAGGAAGAAAAATGAGAACGAAAAAGTGAAAGAAATAAAATCTATGTTTTGCTGAATTGTGGGAAATATAATGGAGATTGGGTTTTCTTCTTCTGCGCCTTTGTCTTCCTCTCCTTGACTTTGTTAGCATTTGAGCTTCAGAGCATTCAAAACTGCAAACTTTTTCTCGCTTCCCTTGTATCAAGAAGCAGTCTTGTTTTTTCTTCAGCTTCTCACTTTTTTGTCTTTTCTCACTTTGAATGCTTTCATGTGACTTTGATTTTGGTTCCCTTATGGGTTTTTGTGCGACATGGCCTTTTGACTAGTTTGATCTCCGGTCTAAGTTATGCAAAGCTCTAACTTTTTTCGAATTGTTTATACGGAAAGCAATTCAACTGTTGTTTTTTAACCAAATAAGTCATGTTGGTATGCTAATTTTAAAGTTGAACTCCGGATCTCCCTTTCTTATTTTTGAGAAGATTTTTATATTTGTAATGGATTATACAGTATCGGCCAAGTTATATTGATTTCTGTTACCTATTTCTCCATCTGTCGTATAAGTTTCTTGGGGTACAATGTTTTGTATTCTACCTTTAATAGGTTGCCACATGGACATGTTGATTATATTTTAGATTAATGATTTCAATCTTCTGCACTGATTTTTTATTTTGGGTGAGATGGGATTTATTTTGTGTGTGTGTGTGTGTGTGTGTGTGTGTAAGGTTGTCAATCTTCATTTACATTTTTGTCATTTTGATATCAACTTCTTATGATGAAATTAAAGGTGGTCAAATTAGACTTAAGTAACTGACTGCTGTTTGGTGTAGGTTTTCACTAAAATCAAGGTGCTTGTTATGAAGCCTGATGCTCTTAGAGCTGGGATAAGTGCTAGTGATGCTGCCATGACACTGGGAGTTGCCCCAGCAATGGCAAAGGAGCATCTCTTGTCTGCTGAGAGCAAGGGTACACAATTGCACCACTTTCTTCAATACATATAGCAACCTGACTGTGTTCTAATTTCTGTCGAATCTTTCCCAGGTGTACTATGCAGGGATATAAGTCCAGATGGATTTCGCTTTTATATTAACTTGTTCCCTGAAATTGATCGAGATGATATGTATTTGTAAGTAAACTTTCTATGCTTATGTGGTTTTGGCTTTTGTTTTAATATAATGTTTTGGCTTATTCTAAAATTTAAATGTACTAACTGCAATATTTGCTGTTTATTCAGTATTCCTTGTCCAGTTGTCGTTTCTGTTTGTTTTATCTTTCCCATGCTCTGTTTATTTTTCAAATTATAAAAGAGATAATTATTGAATTTCTTCTCATCAAGAAATTTAATTTTCACTTCTGTTGCAGCCTTTTTGTAGTTTCATTGTTTCAAGATAAATAACTAAAAATAAGTCTTCCTACTTGAAATATATAGAGTATGCTTTTGATTTTATTTGAAAATTATTGCTGCCCTTTTGGAATCCATATCATTGGCCTTGCAGTTCAGCTTTCTACTTTGTAGCTGCTCAAGAGTTATTAATTACTATCCCTGTTTCTGCATCTCATTGGTTTCTAGTTTGATAATTGATATGTTGTTTCAATTATAGAAAATGATTTTGGTTATTGATTGATTTCATAAGCATAAGTTGTTCTGGGATAAAGTGTTGCATACTGCCATGTATGCAGAGTAAAAGATCAAGGGATTTATCCCTCATGGGTAAGGGCAAACCATGCTCGTGGTTAGAGTTACAAGCTTGTTCAATTCAATTTAACTAAAGGTATGGACAAATTTTGAGTTAGTTTATGTGTACTTTGCTCCTTTTAGTCATTCTTTATTTCGAAGTTGACTTTTCTCTTTTTGCTCACAGAAAATTTACAGATTGAAATGATTGGTTATTGAAATGATTGTCGAGTCAAGTTAAATGTTGGGCAAACGATTTCAAGACAAGCCCTTATCTTAACAAGTTAATATATAGAGGTTAGTCTTTTCGTATGGCATCACTACGTTGGATATGATCCAATTAAGGCATGGCCTATGGTTGCAGTTTTGACGATTCTTGAACATTGTACCATATTGTACATTTGAGACGGGTTACTTACAAGCATATTGTTAGGGGTTTCTTGCAATTTACAGACATTGCTTAATACATGTTCCGAAATTATCAAAATAAGAGTCATTATCGGTCATGCTCTCAATTGGCAATATTATATTATTTATTTATTTTTGTGGAAAGGGTTTGGTGTTGTATTTTTTGGTTTGGGGAGAGGCTTGAAGGGTGTAAATAGGTTGTGTTTGACTTAAATAGGTTAATTCTATATGAATTATTGAGTTTGGTTTGACTAATTAGTCCAGTGTAAGTTAAATTTTAGAATAGATTTGACCCATATTTAGAAATTAAAAGTTCTGGCTTAGGTATAATTAGTTTATTCAAGTCTTCTGGACCTCTAAATCTACAAGATTTAAAAAAGTGTAAATACCCTTTTTGGTCCCTAACAAAAAACACGATTCCCACTTTAGTCCCTTACAAAAAAAAAGTAGTCAGTTGGTCCTTAACAAATTTAAAGTGGACCAATTTAGTTGAAATCGTGGTCCCTCACAATTTCAAAAAAGACCTATATTAGTTCCTCAAAAGGACTAAAATGGGTCTACTTTGAATTTGTTAGGGACCAACTGACTAATTTTTTTTTGTAAAAGACTAAAGTGGGGATCATGTTTTTTGTTAGGGACCCAAAATAGTATTTACTCTTTAAAACAATATCATTTTATTATGTAACATTATTTAAACAATTATTATTATTTTTTAAAAATAATATGGTTTAGGTTGTAGATTAATAGGCCAACCATTGTAAAAATATGCCTATAATCTGTTTATTAAACACGCATTTTAAAAGGTATGAGTCAATTATATTTTAGTAAATAGATTAGGTTAGCCTTGACTTGACGGAGGACATATCCTAAGTTCTTGATAGGCCTCATGATCTATTTATTTTCCTAGGCGGGATTGAGAATGGGAGATTTATTGGGAGAGAGAGGAGTTTGATAAAATGATAGGGAGGATGTAATTTCTTTTTGTTTATTCCATTCAGCCATTTGTCATTTTATAATAAGGGTTTAAAATGCTAAAATAATTAAAGGCAATAAATGTTAATTCTAATTGATAGCAGTAAGGGTTAATTGATGTTAATCCAATTATTTTATTAATGTAACTTGAAATGCTAAACAACATAAAGTCAATAATTATTAATGTTTATTGATACCAATAAAGATTAGTTAATAACAATATCCTTTTATTCATGGAAGCTAGTGAATTCTAATGTGATAATTGATATCAAGTGATGTGTTGGGATGTAAAATATTATGTTATTGTTTTATCAATTCTAAAACTTAAATCTTTTAAGTTATAGATCAACGAATGTAAAAGTGAAAGGAAAAAAAAAAAGGAACTTCAAAAATAAAATTGTCATATTCAATGACATAATATGGTATTTTTTTTTATGTAAAGAACCTTGGGATACATCATTCTAAAAGCTAGCTTAAATGGTGAGAGTGCTCAAAATCTTATAAACTCCGCATTAGTTGCACATACAACCAATGTGAGACTATATATCTCAACACGCCCCCTTATACGAGAGTCCATTGGGCTAGAAGCGTGGATATTGCACAGGTCCAAATTTTTGGTTTACCTTTTTGTGCTTTTATTTTAATTTCACTTTAAAGTGGGGGGCGGTGAGGATCGAACTTGTGACATTATAGTCACTCAAGCTCTGATACCATGTAAAGAACCTTGAGATACATCACTCCAAAGCTAGCTCAAAGGGTGTGAGCGTTCAAGATCTTATAAACTCCACATTAGTTGCACATACAACAAATTTGAGACTATATATCTTAACATTTTAAGTGAAATATGTTTTAAAAAAAACTTCTCTATCCTTTTCTCTCGGTTTCCCTTATCCTTTTTCACATTCCACTTAATTTTTTTTCCTCAAACCAAAAAGCCAAGTCCACCTTTCCTCACAAAAAAAAAAAAAAAAAACCACTTCACTCAAATGACACTATTAAAAAGAACATTTGATTGTACTTAAAAAAAAAAAAACAAAAGAACATTTGATTCGTAGGGATTTGCCATAAATTTGGCTATTTGGCACATGGAAATAGGGGTGGTAAACGAAACAGGGGCCTTTGGCTCAGCTCGTAAAGGCCTGAGTTTACATGTCTAAAATTGGTTGTTGGAATCAGGCTTGGACTTGTATAAAAGCTCGTTTAATAAAAAACTTCAGGCACCAATTCAAAAGCTCGGCTTTAGAGCCTCTTAGGCTGACCTAGTATATTAATTTTTATTTTTATTTTATATTTTTTATACTACTTTTAGTAGCTCTCTCTCTCTTCTCAATCTATTTCACCCCATCTTATTGGTTAAACAGACTTTTCGAATGATTTTGTTCTATATTATGTTGTTTAGATGTACATTAAATTTATGAATATTTATGGAATATATTATGTTGTTTAGATGTACATTAAATTTATGAATATTTATGGAATTACTAGTGCTTTGATTGTATATTCTATTTGGATAAATTTTTGTTGTTTTATTTTTTTTTTAAACAGTCTAAATCAAACTTTTATTTTTCTGTAAATAAGTCGGGCCACAAGCCGATAATTATATTCATAACAGTAACAGGCTTGGTCAGGCTAATACATTTAAACACAAACTTAGCCTTTTAAGATCAAAGTTCGGCTGACTCGGCCCGTTAACACCCTTGCATGGAAGCAAGTGCTAAGCTCAACGTAACTCTTCACTTGCAAATAATTTCCCTTTCGGTTGATTTTTATTAACATCGAATTGAATTATGTAATAAGATTTGCTTAACGCACGCGGTATACAAGTAAAATAAGTGTTGAGGAAATTAAATTGAAGGGCTAGAACTCGAACTGCATGTCTGATGTGTACCCAAGTGCGTCAAGGTGTGCAGCCATTGCTTTATTCATAGGGGGTGGGCCGCACCTAAGTATCTGAAAAATGTAACCATTTTATAAAGTGATGAATTATAACTTAAAGAAGTAATTTAGGTCAATGTGATAAAGAAAAACAATTCCATTCTTAATTGGCACACTATAGGTTAGTTCTGAATTCAACCTGAATATCTGAGGCAGGTGCAGGACAATGGGTTTGAATCATCTCCTTCGATATAAACCCAACTCCACCATTCCATGGATAAGGAGGCTGTCAAGTGTTAAAAATACCATACATTTTATTTTCCAAAGATATTGATAGCTATGAACTCAAATTTAGTTGATAATGAGAAAATGTTTGTTACAGAAAAAATAATTTTTTTTAAAAAAAAGATAAAATGAATTGTAGTCACAAAATTCTTATTTTAATTTTAGTTTAAGGCCACTCATTTTTAAATTATGCATGTTCATGTAATATATATATTTTTTAGTGATCATATAATTGACAGAGATATTTGAAGTGATGAAGGAGGAGAATGCATATTACAAGAATTCTTCGAATGTTTATCTTTTTGATAGAGCAACTAACCTTATTAAGAACATGATAGACTTTGAAACGGTCAGGATATTCGTTTGCAAAGCTATCTAATTCTTCCTGCAGCACATAGCAAATACTCAATAATAAAAAACCCTTCACTTTAAATGCAAATTATTTTTCCTCAACTCTTTCCTCCTTTTTAACTTTTACCTGTCAATATATAGCAGTCATTATTATTATTATTAAAATTGATAGAACATTTCGAGAGAAGAGAGAAGAGACACTCTTATTCCAGAGTAGTACGCTACAAACCATGATGATATTGTTAATAAAGAGACAAACTATTACTGATGTGTCTAGAGAGGTGGTAGATATAAAATTTCAATCGTTCTGTTAGCGTAAATTAATGTTAATTCTCCAAAACGCCGAGCACAAATCACAATTACTGTAAGACTTATGGATCACAATGTTTTCAACTCAATTATCCATCTCCCGTAATTCAAAATGGGACAGTTGAACTATACCCATTATATCCCTAAAGCTAATAGCAGAAAGTCTGAAACTACTATATAATAAATATCTATGTAGAAAAGAAGGAATAAAATAATTACAAACCTGAAATTGATTTGGTTTGTGAGCAGATGTGTTTGTATAACTTCTTTATTCTATTGATCTTATTTACAACAATACAATTAAAACTACTAATCTAAGCTAGTTTTTCATTATTTAATTTTTTTTTTATCATTTTACTCTCATTTCAAATTATATATCAATCTATTCTATTTTTTTGGAGTTACCCAACCCTAATTACCTCTTTGACCCTAATTACCTCTTTGAGGCGAGTTGGTTTCCTCCGGTATTTCCACAAGCTTTGACTCTTTGAACCAGCTATGAGACTAATCCGGAGTGCGGGGGTCAGTGATGGCTAAAAGTTCAGCCCCCTCTCCAAGAATGCATTCAGCGGGAATCGAACACATATCCAACTCCACTAACTCAACGCCAAGGAACCAACTGAGCTGCACCCATTGGGTATCTGTTTTATTTTTTAAGTTATATATCAATATGTTACTATTTGACTAAAATTAACCGATATTTATTGAATAAATTGTTGGGAAAACTCGGTTCCCTCACGCTCGGCTCAGGGGCCTTTGTGCGGAAGTCAATCAACAAGATCCTGATCTCGGATCTCGGCGATACCTCGGCCTGAACTTCACCAGGTCAGGCAGCGCAGCGGAAAATCAAAAACGAAAAACAGGAGAGAGAGAAGAAGAACACAACCAGATTTAACGTGGGAAAACCTTCTTGAATTAAGAAGTAAAAACCCACGGGACCTAGTCCAGATCAAAAATCCACTATGAAAATAATGGTTACAAATAATCAAATACACCAATATGGTGGTTAACTCAACCTCTCCAACAATGGTGATAATCAAACTACCCTAGAGATGTTTCACTCAAACTCTCTCTAGAGATCTCTCAAATGCAAAGCATAAAGCTTTACTCAAACAATCAAACAATTTTTCTCTCAAATTTGTTCTCTCAAATCTGACCTTTCAAATCTAACCTCGCCTCCACCCTCAACTAATGAGTATATATAGAGGAGGTGGAAATTAGGGTTAGGATTTTTAGGAAACCCCTCAAATGGGCTTGGGCTTAGCATTGAAGGAGGAAGCCCAACAAATCTCCCCCTCCGACTTCAATGCGTCGACTTCATCATCAACCCGGCTCCTTCACAACAGTCTTCAAATTTTCTTGCTGGAACCGGCTTCGTCATCATGTCGGACCAATTTTGGTCAGTGTGCACCTTGACTAGTTTGAGCTCTCCACCTTCCACCACATCCCGGATCCAGTGATACCTCACATCAATATGTTTAGTGCGGGAGTGATAAGTTGAATTCTTTGCAAGATGGATTGCGCTTTGATTGTCACAACCCAGCTCGTACTTGTCTTGATCATGGCCGAGTTCCATGAGGAACTTCTTCATCCACAGCATCTCTTTGCTTGCCTCAGTAGTGGCAATGTACTCAGCCTCAGTTGTAGATAGTGCAACACATTTCTGAAGTCTTGATTGCCAAGAGACAGCTCCTCCAGCAAATCTCATCAAATATCCTGTAGTCGACTTCCTCGAGTCGACGTCTCCCCCTAAATCAGAATCCGAGTAGCCTTGCAACTCGGTTTTGCCTTCTCCAAAACGGAGACATAAGTCGGTTGTACCTCGGAGGTACCTGAAGATCCACTTCACTGCTTCCCAGTGCTCTTTGCTGGGGTTTGACAAATACCGGCTTACCATTCCAACAGCATACGCCAAGTCGGGTTTAGTGCAAACCATTGCATACATCAAGCTTCCGACGGCGGATTGGTAAGGGACCTTCATCATCTCATCTTTATCTTCATCAGATCTCGGACATTGCTTCTGGTTCAGCTTTATGTGTCCGGCAAGGGGGGTGCTCACTGTTTTGGCTTTGTCCATGCTAAATCTCTTCAAAATCTTCTCAATGTACTTCTCTTGACTCAGCCACAGTAGCTTCTTCTGTTTATCTCGGATGATCTTGATTCCGAGAATCTGCTTTGCAGGGCCGAGGTCCTTCATTGCGAAGGACGACCTCAACGCCTTTTTCAGGGCGGCTATCCTCGATTTATCTTTCCCTACAATAAGCATGTCGTCAACATATAACAATAATATCAGAAAATCTCCGGCCTCATACCTCTTCACAAATACGCAGTGGTCGGCTTCAGTCTTCTCAAACTTATGATCAGTCATGAATGATTCAAACTTCTTGTACCACTGCCGAGGTGCTTGCTTCAAGCCATAGAGGCTCTTTTTCAAACGACATACCAAGTCTTCTTGGTCTGGAGCTTGGAATCCTTCAGGTTGCTCTATATATATTTCTTCTTTCAAATCACCGTGAAGAAATGCCGTCTTCACGTCCATTTGTTCTACCTCGAGGTCCATTGAAGCCACCATGGCTAACATAGTTCGGACCGAGGTCATTTTCACCACAGGAGAAAAAATCTCCTCAAAATCTACTCCTTTCTTCTGATTGCAGCCTTTCACTACAATTCGGGCTTTGTATCTCGGCTTTTGCCCGTTCTCTTCATTCTTAATCTTGTAGACCCATTTATTCTTCAAAGCTCGTCTTCCTTTAGGCAACTCGGTCAGCTCATAAGTATGATTCTCGTGTAGAGACTTCATCTCGTCCTGCATTGCCTTTTTCCATTCTTCTTTCTCTGAGCTCGTCACAGCCTCATCATAACTCTGAGGCTCACCGTCTTCAGCAACAACGGTGTATTCATCGGATGGGTATCTTGTAGAGGGTCTTCTTTCTCGAGTTGGATATCTCGGCTGTTCTTCAGCTTGAGAACCCGGTTCATCATTTTCATCCCGGATCTCATCATCAACTCGAACCTCAATGTCTTGGTCATCTTCAGCTTGTTGCTGATCATCATTTTCTTCATTTTCTTGATTTTCTCCCCCTGCTTCAGCTCAGACAGGAGGGATGGGTTCTTCATGTCTGACAGTAACCCGGACTTTGGGCTTCGAGATGTCATGAATGTTCTCATGCTCATGAAAGATCACATCTCAGCTTCTCACGATCTTCTTATTGATTGGATCCCAAAGTCGGAATCCAAACTCACATCTCGGTGAACCAAGATAAATGCATTCTTTAGTCTTTGCATCAGGTTTGGCCCTTTCATCTTTAGGGATATGCACGAAAGCTCGGCATCCAAACACCTTCAATTGATTGTAGGCCGCTTTCCGACCCGTCCAGACTTCTTCTGGAATTTCTCCTTCAAGTGGCCGTGATGGTGAGAGGTTGATTAAATCAACAGCAGTTTTGACGGCTTCTCCCCAGAATGATTTCGGCAATCCAGCATTGGATAACATGCTTCGGACCTTCTCTTCAATAGTTCTATTCATCCTCTCAGCAAGTCCATTCAACTGTGGAGTCTTGGGGGGCGTCTTCTCAAGTCGAATCCCGGCCGCTCTGCAGTATGCATCAAATGGGCCGCAATACTCACCACCATTATCAGATCGGACCACTTTCAATTTCTTGCCAGTCTCCCTTTCAACCATAGCATGGAATTCTTTAAAGGATTGGAGTACCTGGTCTTTAGAATTCAACAAATATACCCACACTTTGCGGGAATGGTCATCAATAAATGAAACAAAGTATTGAGCTCCTCCAAGGGATCTTTCCGACATGGAGCAGACATCAGTATGGACGAGGTCAAGAATATTCCTTCGTCTTCTTGGTTGATCCGGTCTCACAAAAGAAACCCGGTGCTGCTTTCCAGCTAGGCAGTGCGTGCAACTCTCCAACGCTTGGCCTTTCAACCCGGTCAATAATCCTTTCTTGTTAAGGATCTGTAGCCCTTTCTCGCTCATGTGGCCGAGGCGCTTGTGCCATAGCTCCAAGCTAGGTTCATCTCGAACAGAATTGGCTTCTCTGCCATTGATCTTTCCTTGCATCACGTACAGGGAGCCTTCCTTCTTACCTTGGGCCACGACCAAGTTTCCCTTGGCCAGCTTCCATCTCACACTACCGAAGTAGTTCACTAACCCGGCATCATCAAGTTTGCCTACCGAGATTAGGTTCAAACGCATATCAGGAACATGCCTTACGTCTTTCAACACAAGTCGGCATCTGACATCTGTGGTCAGAGTTACATCACCGACACCAACAATCTTGCTGGTCACTTGATTTCCCATCTTCACGACTCCAAAATCTCCACCTCGATAAGAGGAGAAAAAACCTTTGTGTGGAGTAACGTGGAAGGAGGAACCGGAGTCAACAATCCAGGTGCAGTCATCATATGCAACATTCAAATAATTATCCTCACCAAGGAGGAATATCTCGGCATCCGGGTTGGCAGCCACCACAGTGGTGCTCTTGTCTTCCCTCTTTTTGGGAATAATCTGATCTGGCTTCACAGAGTCGTTCTTCTCATCATTTTGTAGGGTCCAGCAGTCTGGCTTCTTATGGCTTGTCTTTCCACAGTAAAAGCACTTCAACTCGTATTTCGGCTTTGACCGACCTCTGGACTTGTCTCGTCTGTCACGACCTCTACCCCGGCTTTTGCTTCTACCCCGGGAGTCAGATTTCCCTTTGTTCTCAGCAACATTGGCCTCAAACGTACTCGAAGTACCTCGTTCTCTTCTCCTGGATTCTTCGCCTAGGAGGCTGTCTGTCACGACATCCATCTTCAATTTTCCATCTGGAGTCGAGTTATTCAGGGTCACCACCAGAGTATCCCAGCTTTCTGGCAGCGAGCTCAACAGCAGCAATGCCTGCAATTCTTCATCAATTTTCATATCAGCCTTTGACAGCTGATTCACAATACCTTTGTAGGTGTTCAGGTGTTCAATCATGCTCATGTCGTCCTTGTATTCAAGCTTAACAAGTCGGCGAACCAGGTGTGCTTTGTTCCTGGGAGTCTTCTTCTGAATCATGGACTCTAATTTCGTCCACAACTCATACGCGTTCATGAATTCGGACACGTGCTCAAAGAGGCTTTTATCAATATATTTCCTGATCGTGGCTACCGCCTTCCGACTCAGGATCTCCCACTCCTTATCTGTTTTTCCTGCTGGTCTCTCATCAAGGATAATGGGCTCATGCAGATCTTTGTAGTAGAGATGATCTTCCATCATCGGTCTCCAATAAGTGAAGTTATCTGCGGTCAACTTGAACATATCTCCATCATGAGTTATGCCACTGGTCTCCATCTCGTCTCCCTCAGAACCCGTCGAACTCGGGCTTTGATACCACTGTTGGGAAAACTCGGTTCCCTCAAGCTCGGCTCAGGGGCCTTTGTGCGGAAGTCAATCAACAAGATCCTGATCTCGGATCTCGGCGATACCTCGGCCTGAACTTCACCAGGTCAGGCAGCGCAACGGAAAATCAAAAACAAAAAACAGGAGAGAGAGAAGAAGAACACAACCAGATTTAACGTGGGAAAACCTTATTGAATTAAGAAGTAAAAATCCACGGGACCTAGTCCAGATCAAAAATCCACTATGAAAATAATGGTTACAAATAATCAAATACACCAATATGGTGGTTAACTCAACCTCTCCAACAATGGTGATAATCAAACTACCCTAGAGATGTTTCACTCAAACTCTCTCTAGAGATCTCTCAAATGCAAAGCATAAAGCTTTACTCAAACAATCAAACAATTTTTCTCTCAAATTTGTTCTCTCAAATCTGACCTTTCAAATCTAACCTCGCCTCCACCCTCAACTAATGAGTATATATAGAGGAGGTGGAAATTAGGGTTAGGATTTTTAGGAAACCCCTCAAATGTGCTTGAGCTTAGCATTGAAGGAGGAAGCCCAACATAAATAAATCATTTATCTAAGTAAATAACTTACTAAGGATTAAGATTTGGTCAAATAGAAACAAAACAATGGATAAAATAATAATAAAAATTTAAAATAGAAACAAAACAATGGATCAAAGAAAGGAATTCTTAATTATGTTACCTTTAACAGAATGTCTTCCACTGTCACATTGGCGTATAAAAGGTACACCTTTGTTTTGTCCTTAGGGTTTTTCAATATGGCTTTTGTGAGCTGCAACAAAAGATGGGGAAAAGGAAGAAAAATTAGCACATTTTCTACCCACTTCCAAGCAATTAATGGACTAGATAATCGTGTGAATCTCATTCAATAAATTCTTTTAGTTGAACAATGTGTACAAATTAAATTTTACACATTTTTCTAGTGCCGAAAAGTTATATGTACCTGAAACATTGGGGTAATGCCTGAACCTCCAGCAAGCATTCCAAACGCCCTAACTTGGCCAGGTTTGTAACTGAAACGTCCCTACAAGCTCACGTGTTTATCCATTACAATTGCATTCCATATTTTTATTGATAGTAATTTTATAGGGTTCACATAATGTCATTTAAAAGGACACAACTTGTGTCCTTTTAGTAATTTACACAAAATATGACCAGTGTAAATTTAAAAAGTCATTTTTTTTTTCACTTTATACGTCAACAATATAACTAAGGAGAAAGAAAAAAAAATAACTTTTCAGATTTACGCAAAGTCTGACCGGTCAGACTTTATGTAAATTGGCTAAAAGGACATAAGAAGTATCCAAGGATGCTTCTTTTTTCCAATTTTATATGCTTTTGGACTTTCAAGTATTTGAAAACTTAGCACATTAGAGTTTCAACTTTTTTTGGATCAATAATTTTTTGTTTTAGTTTATTTTTATTTTGCTTAAGGATGGAAGCACCTTGGGGCCCTTCACGGCCAATTTGTCACCTTCCTTCATTTCTCTAAAATGGTGCGACATTTTTCCATTTGGGTACATCTGCTTGCATATAGATGACGCGTGTGATTATCAATTATCACAAATAAAGTTTAGCAATAAATATATATGGAAAAGATAAAATAATTTATCCTTCTACAAAATTTGTCCACGAATTTTTTACCTTCACAACTAATTCAAAATAACCAATATCTTCTGAATCCAACGTGATTGGAGTATAAGATCTCAAAACTTCCTCTCCTTGGCTATCTTTTCCCCTGCTTTAAGAGTTAACATAAAATAGTGCACGATCTCTTGTGGGTTTTGTTTTCTTCATTTTCATTATAGTTCAACTTTAGAAATTGGGCAATGCTTTTCTCATGCTACATGAGATAATATTATCTCATGTAGAGACATAATTGGGTGGGTCCCACGGTTAAGAGAAAAGAAAAAAGAAAAAGAAATACTGACTCGAATTGCGATGTGTCAGTGAAATGAGATAAAAAAATTTATGTAACTTGAGAAAAACATTTCTCTTAGAAATATGTTGCATTAATTTAACATCATAAGTTGAATATAATATGGGTTTGCTTTTTTTATTTATTTTTTTTTTTTTTGCAGTTACTGTAGATCAATTATCTGCAGTAAGTCCAATACGACGTTATTTTGGGTGGAAATCATGGTATTTTTGTAATTTTAATTTATTTCAGGATTATTATAGTCTTTATAATTATAATTTTTTAGTATTTCAATCCCAAAATGACGTCGTTTTGAGAGTAAATGCAGATAATTTATCTGCAGTAACTGCAGAAATATTTTTCTGATATAATATTATAACAATGGGTTCGCTTTTTCTGCGGTTACTGCAGATAAGCTATCTGTAGTAAGCTGAATACGACGTCGTTTTGGGGTGGAAATCATGGTGTTTTTGTAATTTTAATTTATTTTAGGGTTATAATAGTCTTTATATTTATAATTTTTTAAGATTTCAATACCAAAACGATGTCATTTTAGAAATAAATGCAGATAACTTATCTGCATTAACTGCAGAAACATTTTTTCATATGATAAATATTTTTCAAACCTGACAAGTATGTTTTTTCCAACAGGAAGGCCCAATACCGAAGTTGGAGTATCAAGGGCAAATCTGAATCTTGCAACGTTGTGGCTGAGTTGGGTCTTTTTTGTGAGTGTAAATTCTTTGAATTTGTTGGGGTCCAAGCAACCTGAAAATATTGTCATTTTGATAGAAAATTTGTATGCAATGACGAGTTTAATGGCATTTTAAAATTTGGGCACCTTTCATTAAAAAAAAAAAAAACACTTTAATATTGATTTAAGGTTGTATTGCTAAGCTTCGGCATAAGCATTTACACCCTTATTGATTTTCTTAAATTAATCTACCCTCATCTCAATGCCTGAAGAAGTGAAATACTTGAAGAAAAATGAAAATTTTGAAGAGGTCAAACTTATATTTTACCGACAATTTATATGTAAAGGAAATTCTAATACATAAACGTATATGAAATTGGTTAAACAGGTTGAATTAGGATTCTGAAGAACAAACTAAAAATAACTCAATTAACTGGGGCTTACATCGCCCTTAAATAAGCAATGAAAATAAAAAATAACAGAAATAACGAAACTATCCTATGCAAAATAAAAAGATTAAAAAAATAGGAAAAAATTGAAAACTCAACGAGAATAATTCTATTAATCCAAAAAAATGGCAAAGTGACCTTGCTCTTGAGGCCGGTTTCTAAGTACCCAAACAAATTTGGGCCTATTTTGAGATGTTCACCTTGGGTGCATCAAATATTAAGGATTAAATTTTTAATTTTGGGCATAATATATATAATATTCCAAAGTAGACAACCCCTAATTTATTTATGGGTAAAGCATTTCTCCCGTCAATGAAAATAAGTTATCTCGGTGAGCACAAAACGATGTCATTTTGTGACTGAAATCAAAGTAGAAATACTTTTCCCTTTATTTATAGGATTCAACTTTATCGTAAGATAAATTATATATTTTCCATTGTTTAAAAAAAAAAAAGAACTCTTCCAAAAATTGATTAAGAAGCATTTTCGATTGGATCACATAGAACTTGGTTTCACAACAAATGCAAATACGTGAAATCGAATAGATAGAAGATTTTATCCCAGAATTTTAATGAGACGATGAAATAACTTTCAAAATGATACAAACAAATCAAGAAGTAGTGAAATAAATACCTTTGGGGTATTTCATGCGATAGTAAAAATAAGCAGCCGTAAGGCCAACAGCAACAAGAGCAACTGCGCCACCTAGCAGTTCAGGCTGCACGTTTTCTGCAAAGGGTAACCACTTCAAATCAAATTTGGAGAATCGAAGTGTCATATTGAGTGGTAGTTTCAACATTTCGCATGAAATTTTCCAAAATCCACAATTGCTTTAATATGTACGTGCAAACATGCAAAAGATATTAATATATGTAATAATTATATAAAGCTTTCTCTTTAACTGATGATTAATTCTTTTCTTCTTCTCGTCATTGTTCTCATGAATTGAAGCAAAGAATAATCCTAAACGTCTCACGGAGGACACAAAATATTCTATACTTTTACATCTCTGAAATAAGTTTGTCCGTACCTTCGTCCCTAGCAAAAACTATAACCTACAAAAGGTATATGTGATTGGAAACTGCAAGAATCATGGTAGCTGAGTTAGTTCTGGTCACCATTGACAGCCATTATGCCACTCTTTTTTGTTGGTCAATATTCTTAATTACATTACATTAATATAATAATCTATGTTGTATAAATTAAGCTAACTGCTTGGAATTTTTAAAGTAAATAAATTTTGTATTTAACCTAGATTAATTATTACATTTTATTATATTTTAATTGATGTTACGTAACGATTAAATATTTATATATTATAACATATTTATTGTTATTTATTGAGGGAATTACACATTAGCCCTTTGTCCTTGGATCATTAAATGAAAAAGTTTAAAAACCTTCTTATGATTTTGTTTTGAATCACTTACATCCTTATTTTTTATATATATAATCACTTAATCCATATGATTTTTTCCCATCCAAGTTTAATCTTAACACAGTTAAAAATTTAATTAATTTACTTATTTTACCCTTTTTAAAATAAAAGAATATAGTAATTACAAAAGAAAAGAAACCAAATATGGTTGAAACTTATAACACTTACAAAAACGAATAAGTAAAAAAAATCATACAACAAAAAAAAGATCAAATATGATCAAAATCAAAAAGAAGAAAATAGATTAAGGATAAAAAAATTTAGAAGAAAAAATAAAACAAATATTTTAAAAAGAGTAAAGACCCATTTGGGTCTCTGATGAAAAACATGGTCCCCATATTGGTCCTTCACAAAAAAAAAAATTCTCGAGATCCCCAACAAAAACAAAATGGACCCACGTCAGTCATTCTGTTACTCACAATCCTTCGACGTTACTAACAGAGCTTATGTGTCTCATTAAGGCAACCCACCTAGCCGTATAGAGAACAAGGTTCATGTTGTTGCATAGGAAAGTAAAATGTCAAATTTACCCTTCACCTAGCCGTTGTTCACTTTACCATTTAATGACTTGGAAGTTCAACATCCATTGTTAAGAAGAAATTCTACATCACTTTTTGGCTTACACTTTATTCATTTTTCATTTTTTTTCTACAGTGCTTCAACACTCGCAAAGACTTGAGCTTTGCGCGCTTGGGTGTAGTACGAGGTTTTTGTTCGGTTTAAGGTAAGTGTTATGACTTTTGTAGAGCTTTTTTCCAATGCGCATTTGTTGTCTGTGATTCCATGTAGTTTTGTTTTGTAATGTGTGTTTTTTTTATCCATGTTGCCTGGATAATGTGGTTCATGTTTAATTTAGGGTCCATCTAGCAGTACGATACATAGAACAGTGGAAGACATTATATTGGGGCCAGTTTTTTAGATGGTAGGATTTTTTTTAATTTCATTTTTGATATATTGAATTATTAAAGTTTAGGGTGGGGGAAGGGTCTCCCCGTTTCAAGACCAGAGAAAAGCATCAATGTCACCGAGGATTTACGATATAATTACAGAAAGTCAATCAACGGGGGAGTCTACGATTTAAACCCAAGTCATTAGATGGTTGAAATTTGATTTACATATTTTTTTTTCCTAAAAACAAAACCAACACAAATTTTTCTATAGCTCTTCGGAAAAGATCTTTTGTAACAAAAACAAAGGAGCCTAAAGGGTATTATTTTGAGTTTATGTACACATCAATATTTGAAATAACATTAATTAAAATTTGTATGCAAAGCATGCTTGTGCTTAGTGGCAACAAAAGGATTTTAATTTTTCGCTCAAGTCAATATAAGCACTAAATAAGTCAAACTTACAAGTTGAATATTCAGCATATTCTAGCCAATTTTTAACAGAGCTCTATTTCCGAAGTTAATCAATTATGTTCAGCTTACAAATCTACCACTAGAATAATTCAACGATATTAATTGAACTGTGAAAAAATAAAATAAAAATAAAAATAGAAAGAATCGAACTCTAGTATCTTGAGCACTGCAAGTCACTTGTACTACAGGCTGAGAAGTAAATATGATTGACAGAAAACTAAAAGCAATTTCATTTAAACACGACTCAATTCTTGTATTTTACTTTCTTTTGGGTTACCAAAATCTGAGACAAAAATTAGACATTTGGAGCCAAATTTGTATACAGTTGTCCAACCCTAAAAACTCATGAGTTATACACTTAATCAAAGTGCACATTTTAAAAATCTCACGATTGAACATTTACTTATCATTTTGATAATTAAACAACGTGAAAATGGGTCAATTTTCACAAAAACTTGTCCTGTAAAATGTATATGCTATATCATGAATATAAAAAATAAAGGGAATGAATTTCCAATTCAATATACCAGTTTGGAAAGAAAAATCTATTTGAGAAATGCTTAAAAAATTCATAATAATGAAACTGTTGAAGATGAAAAAAAGAAACAAAGATAAATATAAGGGTAAGGATTCGAAAGCCAGAAGATCATCTCTAGAATGATGGAAGAACACAAAAAAGCATTTAGCAGGATTCAAATCCATTAATATGAATAACAGCGCCTCAATACATTTAGCAGGGTAATTGACATTTATGGTATCAGAGCAATTTCACCGGGACGTTCACTGATGTATTGCTTAAGTGTTAGAACTGTTTATTGAGTGTCTCTTGAGTGTCATGATATTGCATATGCTATCACTTGATTGAGCGTAGCTAACTCATACCTCGTGCAGTTTTGTGTAGTGACATGGCACCTCGAGGGAGACCCAGGCGAATAGTTCAAATCCCTCCTCCGGATCCTATTGTTGCAGCTATAGCAACATTGCAGCAGACCCTGAATGAAACCAGGGAAGCTGATTTGAAAAGAATCGAAGAGGCCAGAGATCGCGATAGAGAACAGCTAAGAAAGGCCAGTGAAGACCTTATGGCGCAGAATAGGCTGGCCAATGCTGAGATGATCCGACTACTGTTGACAGAGGTACGAGGAGGACCTCCACCACCTTCACCACCTCCTCCACCGCCAGTTACACCACATGTGCAGCAGCAGGTTGCACGTGCTGCTGGTCCCGTACAGATTCTTGAGCCTGTTGTGCTGGGACATGAAGGGTCAGGAGAGGCCCATCAGGAGGCGGAGGCATATGTCCATGAAGGACTAGTGAGGCAGCCAATTATTGAGGTTGATAGATCAGCTATACCACCCAGGTTTGACCGGGATACTAGAGAGCGTATGCTGAATGCTTTCAGGAAGCATTCCCCACCTCACTACAAAGGTGGAAGAGATCCCATTGCAGCATTAGAGTGGCTCCAAGAGATGGAGCGTATTTTTCAGGTTATGGAATGCGATGCCAACATGAAGCTCCTATATGCGGTGTACATGTTACAGGGGGATGTTGCTGACTGGTGGAGTAATATTAGAAACCCACTTGAGTGCCAAGGTTATGCTATTACTTGGCCATTATTTGAGAGGCATTTTCTGCAAAAGTACTTCCCTGAAGAAGCCAGGGAAAGGAAGAAGAGTGAGTTTGAAGACCTCCGGCAGGGAGGCATGACTGTGGATGAATATCTCAGCAAGTTCAACCGCTTGGCAAAATATTCTTGTTATGGTAGAACTCCTCTCACTCCAGAAGACAAGGCCTTTCGATTCAGGAAGGGTCTGAATGATATGATAGCAGACAAACTGGCAGGTCATTGCACCGAAAATTTTGTGGAGTTGATCAAGCAGTGCCAGAATATTCAGGAGCACTATCGTACCAGGGGAAAAGAAGCAACAGGAAAGAGCTTCAGTGGGAGGACTACGCCCTGGAAGGGTAAGGGCAAGGGTTTGCAAGCACAGCAGAACACCAAGTTTAAGAAGACTCCATTTGTGAAGAATGGAAGCGGAATGTTAAATGCAGGGAAGATTCCCATTTGTGCCAAGTGTGGGAAGATGCGTACAGGTGTTTGTCGACTGGGGCAGAATGTTTGCTTCAGTTGTGGTTAGGCAGGTCATTATTCCAGAGAGTGCCCCAAGAAGACGGGGCAAGTTGCAGCCATTCAGGCGATCCCTATTCAGTTCGTGCCTACTCAGAGAGCCATAGAGGAGCCTATGGCGCCCACTAGTGCCAGGGTATATGCAGTGACACAGCAGGAGGCAGAGAGGTCTCCAAACCTTATCAGAGGTACTATTCTTATCAGAGGATATGCTTTTGATGCCATGTTTGATTCTGGAGCTACCCACTCCTTCATATCGGAATTTGTTGCTAATGGGGTACATTTACCCATTTGTGAGTTCACGCCTCCCATGGTAGTGAAGACTGCCACCGGAGACATTGTTTCTACTTCCTTGAAGTGCAAAGAAGTCAGATTCATATATGAGCAAGAAGAGTATATGGTGGATTTGATAGTGCTTGAGGGCATGAATCTACACATTATCTTAGGCATGGATTGGCTGGTCCGATATGGTGTGATGCTAGATTGTTGTAGCAGAAGGGTTTTCTTTGCTGCAAAAGGAGAAAAACCGGACAGTTTGTACTTGACGGCACAAAAATTAAATAAGGCTCTAAATGAGGGAGATGCAGGATACATTATCCTGGGAGGACTCGTAGGAGACTCCAAAGAACCTACTGCTAATATTTCGGTTGTATGCGAGTTTGAAGATGTATTTCCGGAAGAAATTCCTCATTTTCCACCTGAGAGGGAGATTGAATTCTCAATTGACTTAGTACCTGGTGTGGGGCCTATCTCATTGGCTCCATACCGGATGTCACATGTGGAGCTAGCGGAGCTGAAGAAGCAGTTAGAAGAATTATCCCGCAAGAACTTTATCAGACCGAGTGTATCTCATTGGGGTGCACCAGTCATCT